TGGATAGTGTTTTCCTTTGAAAGATTCAAAATCAAGTTCATGAGGCTATCAAGTTCAAGATCTGAAAGTGTCATTAAATAAAGAAGATCAAGCGTCAAAGCTACATCATTCAACCTCCGTAGTACCTTCATGCTTAGGACAAAAGTAATGACCTAGACACCTAAGATAAACCTTAGTTATTTTAACTTATGATGATTATGATGAAAATGGAATTAGAAGGAATCCAATTATGACTTCTAGGTCATTTAAAAAGAAAAGTTTTCTAAACTATTTATGAATTTTGAAAACATAGACTGATTCATAATCGGACCCCTCTTTGAGCAACACCCTTTAGTACTCAAGAGAATAAGTTTTTGCATCGTTTTAGGCTTAAAAAACCTATAGGAACCACCGTATGTTCACTAGCCTTCACTAGAGAGCTATCTTGATGACTTAAAAGGAGAAAAAACTACGGGGGATCAGCACAGGACTCGCTTTATGAGCTTGCTCGAGCGGTGCCCACGATCGCCCGAGCGATTATGATACTCTGCTAGATTAAGACACTGTTTTCACTCTAGTGCCAATTGTCCTATAACCGTCCTCCCACCGATTGAGCGGTCATTCACGAATCTAAGTTTTCTTATTTACTAAAAATAACCTTATTCTAGACCAATAAATAGGGAAAACCTTTCCCACATCTAGGTTAAGCCTTAAGAAAACTTCTTGTGAGATTTCTAAGTAAGAAAATTATCTTGTTACCTTGAGAGTTTCTACCACAAACTAGATCCCTAAGATCCAAAGGCTATCACAACTTGGAGAAGAACTTTTTGGTGAACAAATCCATTGGTGTGAATATACCAAGGATTGTTGGTGTGCCCATAATTGCTCGAAGCCTAGATAAACCGTACGACATGGAGTTCCAAGTGAAGCTACATAAGATGTTAGAGAGAGAGTTTGGGCGGAGAGACATAGCAAGGAATGAAGCATCTAGTCATGGTATTAGTTGAGGTGCAAGTCTTGAGTATTTATATGTTGACTTGGAGAGTAGTGGATTAGGCTTTGGTGAACCCTGAATGGTTCCCCGCAGTTTTTCCTATGGAGAGTTTTCCGTGACAACAAATTGCTTATGTCTCTTATTGATTATTGTATACACTTGCTTTTGTTAGCTCATACGCACACTATGTGTTTGATGTTTTGATTGATTGATATCATATCATTTATAGTTTTGCAATTAGGTTTGTGGGTTTGTTGGGATCACCGTGAGATTGACTTGAGTGAATTAATTTCATATTAATTAAAATCAATCGTCGTGGTTCAAAGGTTGGTGGTGTTTGAAAAGGGGGTTCTCACATTCATTGTTTCATATTTGTGTGGAGAGGTAATTGTGGTAGACATAGATTTTAATTGACAATTAATTTGAACTAAGATTAAAAAACCTATTCACCCCCTTCTCTACATGTATAATTGTGAGAGAAAATCCATATGGGTTCCCCCTCTTGGAATAAAAACTTGGGTTCTGGTAGACTTGTCTCAAGAGTTAAGGCCTATTGGGTGTAAATGAATATTTAGAAATAAATATAATATGGATGGAATTTTACAAACTTTCAAGGTTAGATTAGTAGCAAAAATATTCTCACAAAAGGAAGACATAGATTATTTTGATACAAACATACCAATAACAAGAATAACATCCATTAGAGTACTTATGGCTTTAGCATCAATTCATAATTTGCAAATTCATCAAATGGATGTTAAGATTGCATTTTTAAATAGTGATCTTAATGAAGAAGTCTATATAAAACAACCCGAGGAATTTGTTCTCCTTGAAAATGAAAAGAAAGGATGTAAATTATCAAGTTTTTGTATGATTTAAAACAAACACCGAAACAATGGAATAAAAAATTTGATTCTGCAATTTTGTCTAATGGTTTCACTCACAATTGTGCTGATAAATGTAAGTATTCAGAATTTATGAAAAATTATGTTGTGATCATTACTCTATATATTGATAACTAGCTAATATTTGAGACCAATTTAGAAGTTGTTTAAGAAGTATCTAATTTCTTAATTTAAGATAAAAGATCTTAATGAAGTAGATAGTATATTAGGCAAAAAAGTTAAAAAGCATAATGGAGGATATGCTTTGAGTTAGTCTCATTACATTGAAAAACTGTTGCTCAAATATAAACATTTTGGAATTAAGGAGGTTATCAATCTTATGATTCCAATATTAAGATAATTGAAAATCCTGGTAGAGTAGTGGCATAGCTTGAATATGCTAATATTATTGAAAGTTTAATTGTATCAGACAAGATATTGCATTGCAGTATGTAAAATCGAGATACACTAGTAAACTAAGTATAGACCATTGGAAAACAAATAATAGAGTTCTTAGATATTTCAAGAAGAAAATTAACTTGAGATTATTTTACTATGACTATCCAGCTATGCTAGAATGGTACACTGATGTAAGTTGATTTCTAGTGTAATTGATAATAAAGACACATTAGGTTAAATTTTTATGTTAGGAGGTGGAGCAATTAGTTGGTCATCTAAGAAAGAAACTTGTATATCACATTATATCATGGAATCTGAATTTTTAGCTTTAGCAACTGCCAACAAAGAAGTCGAATGGTTGAGAAATTTAATGTTGGATATCAAGTGATGCCCTCAACATATACCACCTATTTCCTTTCACTATGATAGTGAAGCAACTGTGTCTAGAGCATGTAGCAAGATATATAATGGTAAATCTAGATATATTAATTTAAGACATGAATATGCTAGACAATTAATGGATGCTATTGTAATCATTATCCATGTAAGGTCTAGCAATAATTTGACAGATCCTCTAACTAAATGATTGTCAAGAGAGTTGGTGAGAGTTACATCCAAATGGGACTGAAAACCTTTTTTTCTTAATAGTCACCAATAATGGTAACCCAACCTTGTTCTAGCAAAAATTAATTCTAAGGTTTAAAGGATGGAAACAAATTAGTGTTATGTGACTGAGAAATCACTAAAATTTATATAAAGTTTCATTTGGAATTTATTGCTAATTGTTACGATAAATAGATGATGAGTACGTACTCTTAATGGAACTAAATTTTACAAATATCTATGGTAGCGGGGACAATAATGGTAAAATAATTTCACCTATATGAATATAGAAATGGTGCTGCTTCTAGCAAGAGCTTACGGTTTATTCTTAGAAATATTCATGAACTCAAAATTAGTGTAGGGCCATAATAGTGCTGAGCAACATATACTGAAATCTCTACGAACAGGATGCTAGTTTATATATGGTTCTTCTAGTTTTGTCGCATAAAATACTTAGTTCAATGCTAAGGCAACCAATTACTTTGATAAAACTGTGATGTACTTATACTAATTGAAGGTTTAAGTTAAAAAACACCTTCTTGTATTTGAAATGACATACATTTGGATTGAGAGATATTCATACTTATAAAATCAAAATGACGGATTGTTGCCACTTTATTTCTAGTTTGATCGAATAATTAATTTATATTGAATATTTATGACTATTAAAAAAATCTATTATTTGAATAGTTGTGATTATTAGGAAAAATCACTATTTGAAGAGATGTGACCATTTAAAAAAAAAAATTATTTAGAGAGGTTGCGACTATTAAGAAAAGACACTTTTTTAGTAATTCATAGTTTTTAAGAAAACAACACCACTTTAGAATGGTCATCACTTTTAAGAAAAATACACAATTTTAGAGGGTCATAACTTTTGGAAAAAAAAACACCAAAAAGTCCATAGATAGGGCTTACACTTCATTCAAAATACACTAAGTTCAATTTAACTCATCTTTCTCTCCCCCCCCCCCCCCCCAAAAAAAAAAAAAAAAAAAAAAGAACAACTATTCCCCCTTCTGTCTCAGAATTAAAACTGTTCAAAAAGTTTTTTTTGGAAGTTCTTCAATTTATTAATTACAATTTAGCAATTCTTTACCCAAAGACTTTGTTATATCCCGAAAGTGATTTATCAAGCAAACTTCTTGAGTTGAGACAAATATAACTTTAAACAAAGTAAAGTGAACTAATGCGTCTCAAATCCATCATTTAAGTATATTTTCGATCTACTTGACACAATTTCCCAACAGAAAAAACCAAGTGCAAGGAAAAAATGTCCTTGCAAAAACAAAGCCTCTCTGATTCAGAACTTAACTCAGGCAACAAGTGATGCTTTTAGCAACAAAAAGGGCTGAGAAGCAACACGAGTGCTTGATTGTGCACTTTCACAGTTACTTCCGAGGCAAAATGGCTCACTTCAGAAAATCAAAGGTAATGTTTCAAACAAAAAAAAACAATATTAACCCTTCTTCTAATTACTATCACAACTTTCATTACCACCCCAACTAAAACCGTCACTCTCCACCATAGCTGTCCCTGCAAACAAAACATCAATCCTCAAGTTGCTGTTGCATTGCCAGTATCTCCACCATAACCATCAAAGCAACCAAATATTTACACTCAACAACACCAATCACTATCAACAAAACAAAGTCCTCGTAAAGACCATATTTATGCATACCATAGGGAATCTTAGGTATAATTTTGTTCATGTGAACCTTATTGTCATTCGGTACCTTCCCACTAAAAAGTAAAATATGCAAATTGTTAGCGGGAAAGCACTTTGTGTCTTAAGCAATTACAAACTCCATAAGTTCCTAGTCTAAATTCTTTTGCAGCAACAAGATTCATCATCTTCAACATCCTTTCTCCAGGGAATCCCTAAATGCATGCCATGTTGGGTATTCACGAAACCAATAGATCCCACCTTTCCATCTCACACCAATCCAAAACTAATATTTGTAATAGCATTGTTGGACATGAAAAGGCTTCAGAAAAATCTAGTAGACGAAAGGGACATGAAGTTATTCAACAGGCACCAATTTATTAATTTTCCATTTTAAAAAATCATGCAAAACCAAAACCAGACTACAGCATCTCAGTGCAAACTGAAATAGAGTGGTAGTTGAGATCTGATATATGATTTCCCACATCAACCAAAATGCACAAGCTGCCCACAAAACAGGATTTCAAGAACAATGCCGCAAGATGCATACAGCCATGATACAAAAGTTATAAAGGAAGAAGCCGTAAAGTAATAAATATGCTGGTACCCCTGAGACGCAGCACGGATGATGAATATTAACTTCTGGACAATGTCGAAACCAATATCATGTAACCATATTCAATGGGGGTCATATCAAGGACACACGAAGAAAAGAGGTTGGCGTCCATTACTCGTGCTTCAAGCTGTAGAAGACCTGAGCCTGCTGGTATTCTAACCATAATTTTTTTTTGCTTTGATAGAAATTCTAAGCATAATCAGATGCTACAAGTTATGACATGAAATATAAAAAAGCATACTGCATCCTCGAAATGTAGCCAAATTGATTTAGTTAGACTGCTAAAAGTGTAAACAACATCACAAGTTTCTGTTCGTACTATGAATATGTACACGCAATTGATCAGATACATACAGAAAAGTTTAGGATGCCAAAGAGCAAAAATGAATCAAACAGAAGGACTAGACCTGAGCACCCTCTCCAATTTCTCAGCTTTGGTGTAATCATTTTCTGAAAGAGGACCAGCAGGAAAAGAAGTGATTTCCACAACCAAATGTGGAGTGGGGAGCTCATCAAACAATGCCCTCACATTGTTACAACAAACAGTTTCTCCATGAGCACTCTCCCTCCTAATCTGACAACCCTGAAAAAATCACGAAGAACTTCTTTAAAAAGCAAGAAAACCTCAACTTTTAGATAACAAGTCTTCAGAATGATAACAAAGAGCAGATTTAAACCAAATGTTAAAGAAAAGTTAAAAACAGTATTTTGGAGAAAAGCAATTCAGTAAACTTGTGTTACCTTGTGGGAAGTGGCATCTCTAAAATGATCATCATCTGATAGCAAGGAAGCAATGGCTTTAAGAAGACGCCGCCCTTCAGATTTGGAAGGTACTCTGTAGTTCCGCTTAAGTGTGCCTTTAGTTGTAGGATGCCATTTACTCACTAATTTCCTTTTGTCAGCTGCTTCCCTCTCTGCTTAAACAGAATGACTTCAAAAATACGAGAACATGAAACCAATAAAAAGGATATTCATGCTCATAGAGCCTTGATTCACCAGATAACTTGAGTAACCATAGCTACATGCATATTCAATGAAATCAGACTCACAAACTTTCAAATTACAACTAGTTTTACTCATTCATCCCAAAGTTGATCAGCTTTACCCCATGGTAAGCTAGAAACAATACCTTGTACCATAAGCTAGAAATACTCATTCATCCCAAAGTTGATCAGTGCTACTTCAGAAACTACCATAACAGTCCTAAAACTGAAACATGCGGTATCATATGATTATACCTATTCAGCTTCATCACAGAAACTTCGCCTTATAAAGGTTTGTTTTTTTTTTTATTCCAACAATCCATATTTCACCCCCATAGAAAGAAAGAAAAGTATACCAAGTTGCCAACACTTGAAATCGAAAAGAAGATCGAAATTGGAACAAGATCAGGAAATTGAGGAGTTATGCCATATTCTAGGCTCCTCATACCCAAATTATACTAGTAGTAGCTTAATGACAGGTCCACCATACTCATAATCAACTTTTAAAAAAAAAATGGCACCAAATTCATAATTAATATAGCAATTTTGAGTTTTAAAAAATCTGGGTATAACTTCTCTTTGCCTAATAGGAAGTCCATGAAATCATAAATTGACAGTAATGATAAACGCGCCAGTGAAATCGAAAAAACCCACAAACCTGGTTTGCCTTGTAGCTCGTCAAACCAATTGGAGAATCCCAAATCATCACCACCAGCTTCCAAATCTACCAAAAACGCCCAAATCAAGAATCCAACATAAAAACCAAAAATACCCATTAAGAAACGCATACAGATTTATGTAAATCACATTGACAATAGAGAGACCTGAGACAAGTGGGTTAGCAGGAGACCCAGCCAAGCCAGCCTTCAAGAGAGCATAGAAGATGCAAACCCTGCTAGCCCACAAAACAGGAGCTTCAAGCAAAGAAGCATATATGCCTCTAGCAGAAGAGAACCTCGTATTGGATGATCTGATTCTACTCGAAGAGTAAAACCCAGTTTTCTCAAGGCTAGGAAACAGGGTTTTGGGTAGAAAAACAGTGGTTGTAGGGCTCATATTCTTGAAGTAGTAGTAGTAGTTGTTGGTAATGGTAGTGGGGGAGGTGGATAGGAATGGCGATGTGAAGCTGTTTGTGGTTTGTGGAAGCATTTCTTCGTTGGATCAAAAATGGTGAAAACAATGGTATCAATCTAGTCCTTCCTGTGCAATGTCAGTGTATATACTATATGAACTCAATTTTATTTTACCCTTTTGAGTTATTAATATTTTCATATTATCCCTTTAATTAATTGAATTATTTTGTAATTCTTCAAACAAAACATTAGGGGTGTTCGCCTTTCCTCTGGGTAGGAAATATTGTCTTCCTATCCTATACATTGCTGAAAAAAAATTTCTTGGCCTACCATAACCAATCAGATGTGATATTCCTATTCAATTTTCTTCTCGATTATTCGAGTAGGAAGTCAGGTAAACACTTTTGTAATTAATTTTTAGATTATTTTAATAATTCAATTAAATAAGATATACCAATTTAACAACGCAATAAATCAATAACACTAAAACCTAAAACAACTACAGCAACAATTACAATATATATAAGAAAGTATAAACATCAATTCATCATAATTGTTACATAAATACAAATAATTATTTTAAGTTTAAACTATATGAAGCACATTAAAATCATAATTGCTAAAATAGTTCACCACAAATCATATAATTTACACAAAAAACAAGTCTATATTTTCGCAACTCAAACATCTACAACAATAACAATATTATAATATAAATTATATACCACACAAATACTCTTATAATTACTAAAAAAATATAAAAAATTTAAATATATTTTTTGCGGGTAGGGTAGGATAAGAATGCAGAAATTGATGAGTATTCCGCATTCCTATCTGATTTAATCGAAAAATCAAAAACTCTTTCGCATTCCTATCCAATTTTTGCGGCTGGCCGTTCTGTAACGCTCTAAAATCCACCATAGAGTTGCTTCAACTAAACCTAATATTCCAGTGATAGTCAACAACCTACAGTTCCCATATAAGACCTAATTCTTAAACTCTGATACCAAATCTATAACGCCCCAAAATCTACCCTCGAAGACATTACTATTTAAAAAAAAATCCTCCAATCATGAGAGCAACTATAATAACTATTAAATAATAAATCATTCATCCATTTGACAACGAATAAATACTAAAATCAATAGAACATTGAAACTTCTCCAACTTACAAATCAAAACCAAGAATATCTAGCAACGGAATAATAAAAACTAGCTAAAACATTGTTTCATAAAAATCTCTCAAACTCTAAACCAAAAGTAGATCAACTCTATTCCTCTAAGATAGAATCCCCATCTAGAACCTCCAACGGCTCGTAATCAATCTGTTCATCTACATTGATATCCTCTTCTATGCCAAAATCTGTAAGTGTGTTGTAGGGGGTGAGCAAAAGCCCGTAGAAAATCCCTCTCAAATCCCAACAAGGTTTAAAACAATAAAAGATGGCAAGTCTCTTTTGGAAAATAGCATATAAAGATTTTTGAGAATAAAACCATAGTAGTTGTAATGATCTCAAGTGTACGGAATACAGTGAATCAATGACAGGAATAAACTTGCAAGAAGCAATCAAATAAGTAATTCAGTAACATCATTCAATATTCTCGTGTATGTTAGTTCATCCTCATTGTCATGTATGTTGGTTGCTTCTCAAAAATCTACACAACGATCTTACCTCGTTCACCCATCATAACCACACAATCACAAACATTTTAAGAAGGGCGTATACCGTCTCCCACGACATTGACGAATCCTTCCCAGAAAAGGTATATTATCCCTCAACCTCGAACAAACATGAACAATAGTGGTTGCTCTCACAAACAACAATCAACTACAAGTGTTAGGCAACCATCTTACCCCTACTGGGATAGACTAACCTCTAATACTCTACGGCAGCTCTCGAAGGCAATTCAAGTTCATCACAACAAACCATACAAGAGAAGAAACCACAATATTCTCAACAACCACAACCTTAACCAATCACAATTTTCATTAATAACTCAAGTATCACAAGTGCACAATTCTCAATATACTATAATACTAAATGAATTAAAATATACGAGAAATCATCTCAAGAAAACATTCACAATTTCGATATCAAAATTCTAAGGTTTATCTAAAAATGATAATTTGTTGGAACAAGAACAAATATTAAATGAAAACATGATTTAATCAAGAATGAGAATTTTGAAATCAAGAATCCATATGAATTTCACAATAGAACATATATTTTAGAAAAACTAGGGTTTTGGAAATTCAAGAACATGTATTCCTTCAACTCAACACATGTATTTTGTTCAGGACTATGTTCCAATGATAAAGAAATCAAGAACTCATATATATCTGTCATATAATTATCAAGAAGATTGAAATTATACATAATTATACCCTAAGTCTCAATGAAAGAACTTGAGAAGAATCCCCTACCTTAATTCTTGAATTTTGATCCTAATGTGTTTCATTGCGATTACCCCACGTTAAAACTTCAAGATTTATCATGTTCTTCCTCTTTTTCTTCTCCTCAAACTTTTCTAGGTTTATTAGGGTTGAAGATTAGGTAATGTCTCTTTAGATCACGGCCCTAGGGTATTTATAGGCTGAAAAATAGGGAATTCCCGAGTGGGCGTTGGTAGTAGCCTACGTCTGACTTCTAACTCGATTATGACCTAGTTAGAGGCCGTTTCGCGAAATTGTCATGAAATACATTATTGTAGCCCTTGAAGTGTAGTTTCTACTGTAAAACTTTCAGGTTAATATGACATTAGGGTAAATATTTATATTCAAAATACGAAGGCTATGTCAAATTCCTTTTCACCTTAATCCTATTCAAAATAGGTTTTAACTCTAGAATAGTTCTAAACTTCTAATACAACTCATATAACTTCTTCCATTATTTTTTGACATTTCGGATTCAATGGAGACCTTATTTTGATCTAGAAATATTTATAAAATTATTTAGTCACCCTTCTCAAACTTAAACATTTCTAAAACTCAATTTATTTCGAAAGTCAAATACGCTTGAAACTTAAATTTCGTAATCAATATTTTAACAATTATTTTAAGTTTCTGTAATACCCCACATGCGTTTAAAAAATAAATAAATAAATAAAATAAAATAAAATAAAATAAAAATAAAAGACATAGGTGTTCAGTAATTATTTCATTTGAAATGATAAAATAGTATAACTCAAGGAAAGAGTAGTTAAAAGATTAGTTTCGGTATGAAAATGTACAAAATAAATCATAAAAGAACTTGAACTAATTAGGTCGATGTAGAAAAGTATGTAGGATAAGTTAGGATTAAAGTTGGAAGGATTGGAAGTGAAAAGGGGCGCCCAAATGGGCGCTGGGGCGCTGCTCCGGGTACATTGCCTACTCCGGACCAGTTGTCGTAGAATCGTCATAACTCATGCTACAATGGTCCGATTGAGCTGAAATTTTGACACAATGCAGAAGACATCTAGATCTACAACTTTCATGTTTTGCACTTTTTCAGATTCAAAGTTTATCATGATCAAAAATAAGGAAAACAGTAAATCTGGAAAACCCCCAAAACAGACGATGAACAGTAAAAGTCGGGATTTTTGAGTTTTAAAACACCCATTCCAAGCCCTATTTCTCCCATTCTTCATTTCCCTTCCACTCTAAATACCTTAGAGCCCTAAGAGAAGAGAAAAGGGAGAGAAAAACACCAAGGCCAAGAGAGATTCCCACCTCATAAAGATCAAAACCGAATTTCTCAAGTTTTCTCTTCTCCACCCATTTCTTTTGCTTCTATTCCTCAACCACTCACACCCAAATCTCTAGAAACCCTAGGAGGACGAAATTAAGAGGAAAAGGAAGGAGAATAGGAAGATTTTGAATCTTGGGTCTTAGATTGAAGCTACAACCAAGAGGTAGGGGATTTCTTCCTAATTTCTTACATTGAGGCTAGGGTTTATGTATATACATATGTTTTCCACTCCCATCCATATTTATTTGATATGATTTGTATGATTCTTAATTCTCCTTGTAATAAATGCTATGTTTGAATAATGGGATGGTTTGGTAACCATTAAATTTCTCTTTTTCATCTTCCAAACTTGGTTTTAAGAAAAATTGAGTTTTCTCCATATATTGCCTTGGTTCTCACTTTATAAATTTAGTGTTCGATATTGTTCAACGAAAATGATCTTTATATTGATCTTTTGCTCATTTTAATTCCATCTTGCTATGACGCTTTACTTGTGAAATTTGGGTATTTTGCGATTAATTGGTAAAATGTGAATTGATTGAGAATATGTTGGTTTACTCATTGTATGGTGGTTGAGAGGGACTTGGATTACCTACGAGATATGCCGTAGAGTGTAAATGTCAGTCGAACCCAGTGGGGGGGGAGATGGTTTCTTGCACTTGTAGTGAGTTGTCATTTGGTAATGCGACCACTATCGTACGCCTGGAGTTCGAACTAGGGTTGGTATACCATTCCTGGGGAGGGACTCGTCACTGCCATTGGGATGGTAGACGCCCCTTCCCTAAGTACTTGTGATTGTGATTATAAATGGGTGGACTAGGTATAATCGTTGGGTAGATTCATGAGAAACAATCAACATACATGGTACGGGGATGAACCAACATAAATGTGATGATTGGCTGGAATGGCTTGGCCGGTGCATTGGTATGGGACGATGCATCGGAGGGAGCCCCTCCTAATTGACTTAATGTTGGAAATGGTTTGCTATGGTTAAACTTAATTTATTTCTCTCCTTAACTACTGTATGGCTTAAACTTGAGATCTATTTAAAATGTCCCGTTTTACTTCAAATTCATATATGTTATTTATGAAATGTGACCGACCCGTTTTGTATTTTATAAACCTTGTTGGAGTTGGGAAGATTTTGCTACAGAGCCTAGTGCTCATCCCCTACTGTTAACATTTTTCAGACTATATCCTTGAGGAGGAGCCAGGAGTCGAGGAGCCCGTTCTTTGGGAGACTCCGATCGACGGGAGCGTAGATCCCGAGGTGGACGCCTAGAGCGGCCCTTCTATTTTGTTCTAGACTAGGCTATGTTTTTTTGAAAGATTGTAAAGTCTAGTTATCTTTTGAAATTCCGCTGCTTATCATAGTTTAATTCTTTGGGAATGTACATGCC